GAGGATTCCTTCTATTATAGACAGCTGCTTGTCATTAAGCCACACAGTGAGGGCGATACTCTCTACTGTGCTTAATATATATTATATATTTCTTACAGTACCACAGATTAAATTGGATCAACGTGAATCCAGCAGGCAGCGGTTTGTCTCTTCGGAGCTAAAGAAAGCACTACTTTGATTCTATCGGTATCTTTCCAGATGGTCCATAATACCTCCTTCCTCGGTACACAATGTTATGCCACTTGAGCGATTCAGGAGTCCTTCGAGAAAGACACGCGAAAAGAGCAAGGTGGTTTCCCTATATGGCGGTCCCGCGAGAATGCACTTGGAGAGGAATGTAAACAACAATCTCGTCGATCGTCAGAGACCGTCCCCTCGGGCCCTCGCGTTCCCCGCACCACGCATCACACCGCCGCGCGGCGAGTCCTCGCACGAGTGGATCCTGCACGTCCCTCGAAAACGAGACCTGACGTGACTCGCGCACAGTACACGCTTCCTCCGATTTCCTTTAAGGTCACATCCAGCCGCGTCGGAACCACGAGAGCACTTTCGAGCACTTCCTTCTATTCCGAGATATTCCTTCGATCCTCCCACTCTTCGATCTAACGGCACATGCGCAGAAAACGAGAACGCACGGTTTCTACGCGCGTTTCTCCCTCGTCGTTTTATTTATTGTATCTACGCGATCGCCAGGCGTACGTTCACCGGTTACGAGCTTCACCCGCATATCATATCCCCACTAGGTCCTAAATCGCTCGGTCCACCGTTCACCGACAGGCTAGGAAAGAGTTTCTCCTCCTCATTGGACTCGCGAAGGACGGGACCAGAGTTGTATGTGTACCTTATATTCCAAAATTATGTTTACATAGAATTTTTACGTTAAGCATGTATTGTTTACGTTTGCATTATATATAAGTAATGTAAAATATTTAATCCATGCAGCATGAAATATTTCATTGCAAGATTTGAAATATATATTTCAGAAGTTTTTCATGAAATCTCTTTCTAAAATATAAATACTTATGTCCAGAAAAATCAGAGTTTTTGAAATATTCTTTTTTTTACAATAATATATATTTATATAATATTTCTGAAATATATTTTATAAATATTTCAAAAAATGATTTGTATAATATTATATATATCCCTATAAGCGCATAATATTATTTAATATTAAGTAATATTCCTGAAATATTAATGGATGGTTATATGTCCACTCCTAATAATATTATATGATTATTAAAAGTAACATTTATTTAATGTTACTTTTAATAATCATATAATATTGTATAAATATTAAAAAGTAT